GTCATAATTTTGATCTAATCTTCCACTCTTGGAAATTATGTATTTCTGGCATTTTATGTATTCTCTATATATTAGATGTATTTATGTTCGTTTTTTTTGTTTAGATTCTTGTGAATACTGCACGTGGTGCAATCATACAACAAGACGACCTTATACGTGCTTTGTCAGAAGGTCTATTAGGTTCTGTAGGACTAGACGTGACAACACCAGAACCATTAGATCCTGATCATCCTCTGTTGAAATTTCAAAACGTAATTGTTCTTCCTCACATTGGTAGTGCAACGCTGGAAACACGAACAATGATGGGAAATCTTGCTGTTGAAAATGTTTTGTCTGGTGTTCGAGGACAAACGATACCTAGTTCTGTAGACTTATAATCAGCCATTTTCTATTAAATAAAACTCTAGATTTCTAGGCCTGTTGTTGAGCATAATGGATAGAGCTTTGACACGGGATTTAATAAATTAGATCGAACTTATGCAATTAATTTAATATGAGCGAGGTAATTATAAGTTCAATTGATATCAAAGGTAATTCTATACGATAATAAAGTGAAAATAATCACACAGCGATGATAATACACTAATACTCGAATATAACATATAAGAATCTGATTTATTGGCCAGATACTAATCATGTGACCTACTAGTTAGCAACTTAGCGTAAATTACTGTGCAATGCAAGGTATTCGGATATTTTACATTCCATATAATAACTAATCTTGATTTATACCCGGTAATATTGTATGGCAGAAAATATATTATTGGGATATTTTGTCAAAAGTATATATGTATTAGCTTTGATTTATACCCGGGTCTCTTACAAAACACTACAACAAATAATCTTGAAACATACCTGGCATAAATCAAAGGGGTATAAACCGAGGGGAATATCTTGCATGGTAATTTATGGTACAGTACTTAAGTCTAAGCAAAAGAGATAAATAGTATATACTATTAATATACATTATTTTATCTTATATTATTGGCCAAATCGGCCAAAAAATTTTTGGCCAATGGCCGGCCAAGTGGCCAAGTGACAACAACACTGCTGTCTGGATTATTATTTCTGATTGCAGGATGTGATATTTGATTGTCCGGAGCGAAGCGGAGGACTTACATGTTTATGCGCTTTGATGATTGAAATTACGATTTTGATGCATCTATAATAATAATATCAAAACGCATTTTCCGTTTGTAACGCCCCTGAAAATTTTGATACACGACCAGATTTTTCAGGGGTTAGGGCCATTAATTAAATGCTGTTATGGGCTCCGGACTTATACCGGTTTCCGGTTCCTAGTATACCAACTTTTTTGGGTTTCAAGAGATGAATGGAATATGCTGTAGTAATCACATTAAAGAACTCAGAGGAAGAAATTGTTACAATAGAAGTACAGTTAATAGAATATGTAGATAGAAAATATAAGAAACTGCCATTCTTACTATGTAAAGGTCTATCAAGCTGGTTATAGGCTAGGTTCGCTTCATAAAAATAAAGATTATACATAAACATGACCATTCCATAGATCTTTTGAGATAATAATTTGTACACGATAAGTATAAAGATGTTTATATGAGCTACTCAAAAACACTGCAAGCAAAAAGGATACCTTTTTAACCATAAGTCCTAGAAACATCATAAGGATGTCTCTTTTGAACATTCTGGACCATTCATCTACCAAACACATGAGGTGTTTCTTGACTTCTGATAACACTCTCACCTACTAAACACACAGCACTCATCCTTTCACCACTTTATTATGATATAATTCTATTAGTCACTCAAACTATGATAAATTAACCCTTTAATAGTGATGTATGTTTTGACTATTCAAAGGTTTCTTTGGCACTTTTTAACGTTCAAGTATCCAAGTGTCCAAAGGTGTTCAGAGTATATAGGATAACTTTCTCGTGATTGGTCGTCACATGAAATTGAATAACACGTTATTATTGGCCAATTGTGAAAC